AGTGCGTAGGAGAAGATAAGGACAGTAGGCAATATGGCCGTCCGTCTGGGCAGAGTGAATTGATGATAAGAAATGATTGCCTACTTTTCAGGCATTGCATTGAACGGTGTTGTTCGGCTCGTGGGGGCCTCACAGGTCTCGTTTTGATAATCTGAATCGTTTAATGTGTAAAATTGGTCGAGTACTATATGCCTGTAAAAAATCACGTTGATCGGATATCGAAAGCTATCTGATCGGATTAGTTTTTTTTCAACTATTAACTATAACACCATCTATTTTTTTATACAAAATTGATTTAACTATGTAGTTCGTGATATCCGATCAACGTAATTTTTTACAGACATATAGTACTCGACGAGTTCTACACATTGAACTATTCAGATTATCAAAACGGGACCCGTGATGGCCCCCACGGGCCGAACAACGTCGTGTTGTTTGTGCATCCCGCCTATGCAATTTTTCCAAAAAACTCAGCTTTGCGTCTGTAGGACATCAGAGTTGTTTGTAATAATTTTGTGTAAAATTAATTTTTTTTATTTTTTTTATATTTTTTTGTGAATAGTGATAACTTTTTAACTTTTTTAGTAACTTTTTAGCTTTTAGATTTTTTTAGATATCCCAAACCAGGCCTCAGAGGGTAGTAATATTTTTCAAGTACTTGAGCCTCTTCATAGTTGATATATTTTCTTGGTTGCTTTCTCAAATAAATGGGCATGTATTGTTGCAGTGACTTGTTTTGTAACTTTTGATTAATATGATAAATTGCAGGAGAGACAGGTGAACATGTTCAACAATTCATATGGTGCACGGCCTTTTTGGAACATCCTTTGGTTAACAATGTCCATAGTCTTGCTTCTTTTGTTCATCATTGTATTATGTGTAGATGCAAGAAGAACTTCAGAACTTAAAATGTGAATGTGATTTAGTTGCAGTTCTAGGTAATACAAGAAGTTAAAAGAATAGAGAATAGAAAGTAAGATTTATGGGTTGTTTGGGATGTTTTAAATAAGTGTATTTTTTGACTTTTTATGAAATATGAGTTGGGTTTGAAGTGATGTGGTAAAGATGTGATGTGACTTAAATAAGATGATGTGACTTAAATAGGATAGTGATTTTTTTAACTTTTTGACTTTTTTAAGGGATGTTAAACCTAGCCTTAGTAGTAGTGTCCATAATTATCAGTGCGGAATTTTAAACCCGGATTTGGGCAGTTTTGTCAGGATGATGAATCATGAAAAGTTGATAGTTATTTTGTTTTATTTGTTTCTTTTGGGCTGTAAATGGATGGTAAATTAGATATTTGAGAAAGGTTGAGCCTTTGCTACTGGAAACTGTCACATTCATTGCAAGTAAGGTCCATTGTTTATATGTTCTGATGAAATTCGCTAGGGTGACCTGACCTGGTTTTGTTTTCATTTTATCTGCTAGTTAATGACTATCGTGGTCTTGTCTCGATCAAGAGCTTCTCAATGTGAAATGGCCTAGTTGTACAAGATGCTGAAATTTTTTTAATGAAATATTTTGTATCAAATTTGCTTATTATTATTATTTACTATGCCATCTTAGAGCATCTCCAATGGATGGGTAAATCAGCTGCCAAAGCCATAATATAGCAGCTTGGGCAAAAATGGCCTTCTCCAATGGAATGCTATACCAGCTGCCAAATCAAGTGCCAAGCTTGGCAACTACTTTGGCAGCTGCCAAATCTGCCAAGTCACCCAAAATGAAACTATTTTCTTTCTTCCCTCCTTCCCTTTCAGTTGGGATTTTCCAAAATGCATGAAGTTTTATATAAAAATATTGAACAAGAATGAACAAAACAGATTTCTCAAATAATTCATCAAAAAATGAACAAAACAGATTTCTCAAATAATTCATCAAAAATTGAACAAGAATGAACAAAACAGATTTCTCAAATAATATTGAACAAGAATGAACAAATCAGATTTCTCAAATATTGAACAAGAATGAACAAAACTGTTTTCTTTCTCAGATTTCTCAAAATATTGTAATGAAATTTAATGATATATATTGTAATAAAATTTGTAATGAACAAAACAAAACAGATTCAATTAATGAGATTCAAAACAGATTCATATATTGTAATGAACAAAACAAATCAGATTTCTCAAAATATTGTAATGAAATTTCTCAGATTTCTCATACCAGAATTCATCAATATTCAATTAATGATAAAAACACTATAAAACGGATTTCAATTAACAAAACAGATTTCATACCAGAATTCATCAATATTCAATACCAGAATTCATCAAAAAACAGATTCAATATTAATGATAAAAAATCTGATTTGAACAAAACAGATTTCATACTAGAATTTCATATTCCAACATAAAACAGATTTCCTGAAATTAATTTCATATTCAATATTTCATACCTGATTTCATAACAGATTTAAAAAATATCAGGAATACCAACATAAATAATCTGAAATTAATTTCTCAAATAATCCATTAATTTCTCAAATAATCTGTTAAAATCTGAAATAATCCAAAGAAAAATACCTGGATTTGATGGGGGCTACGGCTCTCGATCTGAAGAGGGTTGAAGATAAGGGTTGAAAAGGGTTGGAGAAGAGGGTTGAAGAGAGAAAACAGTGGCATCCGAAGCTGCAGTTTATCCGATCTGATCCGAAGCTGAAGTTTATTCGAAGCTCTGATCTTTACACAGATCTTCACTCTGATCCGAAGCTCTGATCTTCACTCTAATCCGAAGCTCTCTTTCTCCGAAGCTCTCTCTCCCTCTGATCTTCACTCATTCGAAGTTTATCTGAAGCTCTCTCTCTGTCTCTGAAGTTTCCTCTGATCTTCACTCATCCGAAGCTCTGATCTTCCCTCTGATCTTCACTCATCCGAAGCTCTCTCTCTCTCTCAAGTTTCGAAGCTCTCAAATTGTGATCTAGTAGATGTGCAAAACTTTCCTAACTTTATTGATTAAAAAAATATATATATCAACAACGGCTCTTTAGTGCTACTATATTCATTAAAAAAAGATTTAATAAAAACATAACTGAAACATGCCTACAACGGTTCTTTTTTATAAAAAAACATATCTACAACGGATATAAAAAAACGGCTCTTTTTTTTTCTATAAATACAAACCTTCTCTTCTCTCTTTTTACTCAATTTCATTTCACAACAAACTTTGTAAATTACAATTTTATTTATATTTTCTTTACACAATCGGTATGGAAGGTTCATCAAAAATAAAGAGAGGAAAATTGCTGAAGATATGGCACTTTGTCAAGCTTGGTGCCACATTTCTGAAGATTCAATTGTTGGCAATTCACAATCTTATACTCACTTTTGCGGGAGAATTTATGAAAATTATTGCTCCCTTCAGAATGATCAGTCAAGAACACAAGTTTCTATCCAATCTCAATGGGGTACAATCATGAAATGTTCTAACAAATTTCGTAGATGTTTAGCGCAAGTCGAAAATCTACACCCAAGTGGGATGTCTCAAGTTGATCTAGTAAGATTTCATCTTCATTTATTACGTTAGTTTTTTATTTTATTTTATTTCATCTCATATAAAAATTAAATAATTACTTAATTCAATATTAAATCGTGTTTAATTTTATCTAGTAAGATCTCATATTTTATTTTATTTTATTGATACTTACTTAATTCAATATTAATACAGATGCTTCAAGCAAAACTTTTATACCATCAAGATGAAAAGAAACATTTTGCTTTTGAACGTTGTTGGTCAATCTTGCAAAATAATATCAGGTGGCAAGATGTAACTCCTACGTATACGGTGAAGTCAAGGATACATACACCATTTTCCCCTGATTCAGCTCCCGATTCCCCGATGGATAATTGCATTTCTCTTGAAGATGACACCAGTCCAAGTGTTGGTAACAATCCAACTGTTGGTGAGGGCAGTGTCTCTGCAAGGGGTAAAAGGCCGATGGGTAGGAAATCTGTAAAAGAATTATTTCGGAGAAATCAAATCATTGAAACTGAAGTCCAAAAAATGAGTACACAATTAAACACATTTAACCACCACCTTGCTAAGAAAGAAAAGAAAAAAAGATGAAAGAGAAGAAAAAAGGATTCAAGCACTGCAGCAGATGAAAGAACTTGAGATGCAAAACATGAGTTTGAGATGAGAAAGGAAGAACACCAAATAATGACTACGGACATTTCTCATTTGGTCCCTCAGATGAAAGCGTATTACACAATGTGAAAAAATGAGATGTTGGCCAAGTGGTCCTCAAATGTGAGCAGCCCAAATTTTTATTTCCCCTACCTCCTGATGAATAATTACGGGATAAATGTTAGTCTTCATTTTTTGCAATATCATTTATTTTTTGATGTAATTGTTAGTCTTTATTTGCAATGTAATTTTTATTTTGTAATGAAATTTCATGTTGTTTTAAGAAACATTTTTGAGTATTTTGTACTTCACAATGTAAAAAAAGATATTAACTAACATTAAAAGACATTGTAAAATAAAAAGACATTAAATGAAGAACATTTTATTAGAATAAAAAGACATTAACTGACATTAAATGACATTAATTGTCATTAAAAAGATAAAATGCAAACTTAATCCAACTCTCCAGCTCGGGACTACAAGTGTTCAATTAGATCATTACGAATTACATTATGGGCTTCAACAAATCTAATCCTTTGCCGATTCAACATAAATCGAGCATACTCCTCATTCGGATCGCGTGACACTTGACAGCCCAAATTACTGGTATCAATCTCAAGTTGTGCTGCACTGCGTTCATTTTCTAGAATATCACACTCGTCTTCAATGATCATGTTGTGCAAAATAATGCACGTCTTCATGATGTAGTGCAGATCATCATCACTCCAACCTCTAGCTGGCACGCTGACAATATTAAATCGTGCTTGGAGCACTCCAAATGCCCTTTCGACATCTTTCCGACATGCCTCCTGCATCCTCGCAAATAGCTGTCTCTTTGCACCTTGAGGTTGAGATATTATTTTCACAATCGTTGCCTAACGAGGATAGATACCATCAGCAAGATAATACCCCATGGTGTATGCGTGATTATTGATGGTGTAGTTGGCAGCAGGGGCACGTCCTCTAGTTAATTCAGCAAATAAAGGCGACCTGTCAAGAACAGTAATATCATTTAGAGAGCCAGGCATGCCAAAGAAAGAATGCCAAATCCACAAGTCATAGGATGCAACTGCCTCGAGTACAACTGTTGGTTTGTGATAGTGTCCAGTGTAAGCACCGGCTTGGGCACTTGGACATTTATCCCAACGCCAGTGCATACAATCCAAACTCCCTAACATTCCAAGAAACTCGCGTTGCTCTCCCTTTTGCAATAATCTGGCGACATCTGCTTCATTTGGAGATCTTAAGTAAACGGCTTCATAGGTAGCAACAATTGATCTGGTAAAAAAATTTAAGGCGGCAATTGCAGTACTTTCGTCGATTCAAATGTACTCGTCTACAGCATTAGCAGGCACGCCGTATTGAAGGATCCAAAGTGCTGCAGTCATCTTCTGTACACCGGATAATCCAAGAGCACCAGTGGCATCACGGGTTTGGATGAAGTACTCATTCACTTGTTGAATATCGTGTAAGATACTAACAAACAATGACCGCCTCATTCGAAAACGTCTTCGGAAGTATTCTTCTAGATAGATAGGATTATCTGCAAAATAATCTCTATAAATTTGTTCGTCGCCTTTGACCCTTTCACGATTAATGTATCGACAACCACTTGTGGAACCAACACGTCTGGTTTATTGGTTTAGGCTTAACATCTGTAACCTTTGTTGTTGCGCTGTGAATAGTTGCATCAGATGATAAAGATTCATCAAAATCTCCATTTAATATGGCTTTACTCAAATTGTTCATTGTTGGTGGATGGGTGAGTGGGTGAATATGAAAATTGTAGAAAATCTTCTTGGTGGGTACAGAGAGTTTTGAAGATATGAAAATAATAGGTAGGTGAATATGAAAATTGTAGAAAACCTTATGTTATATTTATAGAGAAAATTGTGGGTGGGTGAATGATGGATGGTTGTTAGGTGGGTGGATAAATAATGAGTGGTTATTGGGTGGGTAGATGAATAATGGATGGTTGTTAGGTGGGTGGATGAATAATGAATTGTTGTTGGGTGGGTAAATGAATAATGGGTGGTTGTTGGGTGTGTGGATGAATAATGGATGGTTGTTGGGTGGGTGGATGTGAGTGAATGAATGCTGGATTAATAATGGATGGTTGTTGGTGGTTGGTTGTTGGTAGGTAATTAGTGATTGTTTATTTTTTTATGTGTAGTTAAGAAAATTTATTAAATATGTAGTAATATGTTTTTTGGTGGGGTAATCAAACATTTTTTTTTTCAATTTTTCATTTTTTTTAATTTTTCATTTTTTTTAATTTTTTATAGTTGTCTAGTTGGGAATAATATAAATATATAATTTTTTTAACAAACAGATAAAAAAATGTCACAAAAGACAAAAAATAAATAAAAATAAAATCACAAAAACCTATATCCAAACAACACCTACAAACTTGGGGAGAAAATTGGTTGAGATTTGTCAAAAATAACAAATGACCATTGGAGCACCATTGTTATAATTTGGCAAAATAACACTATTCATTGCCAAATTATAGCAATAGCAATAGCAAAAGCAAAAGCAAAATAGCAATAACCATTGGAGATGCTCTTACATGCCATTTTTGTACTGAAGTATAACACGCCTCGTTTGAGATGTTAGCTATTTTAGTAGGTTAAAATATTTATGTTTGGGAAGAAGGTTGAATTTTTTTGTAATTTGATGTAATTGGAGTGTTTGCACCTACAAACTTGGGGAGAAAGTTGGTTGAGATTTGTCAAAAATAACAAATGACCATTGGAGCACCATTGCTATAATTTGGCAAAATAACACTATTCATTGCCAAATTATAGCAATAGCAATAGCAAAAGCAAAATAGCAATAACCATTGGAGATGCTCTTACATGCCATTTTTGTACTGAAGTATAACACGCCTCGTTTGAGATGTTAGCTATTTTAGTAGGTTAAAATATTTATGTTTGGGAAGAAGGTTGAATTTTTTTGTAATTTGATGTAATTGGAGTGTTTGGCAAAGGCTATTTTTTGGCCTTTTGAATTAAAATTCACAAAATGACAAAATAGACTAAAATAACTAATAAGATAAAATGTCACATCAAATCCATAATCATTTCACTTTTTCTCTCACAAATATCACATGTAACTACAAAAAAATTCAACTATATTTCTAAACACAAGAATTTTAACCTGCTAAAATAGTAAAAAATTAAAATAGCCTACTAAAATAGCAACTTCTCAAACACCCACAATGTTTGCGAGAGAAAAAATGAAATGATTATGGATTTGATATGACATTTATTTTAACCTATTTTGTCTTTTTGTGAATCTTAGCAAAAAAAGCCAAAATTTTGGCTTCTCAAACACCCCCGGAATGTGAAGTTTATTGTACTAATTAGTGTGTTTAGTTTTAATTTTTTTAAAATTAAGTTTTTTATTTATTTATTTTTTTGTTTTTCGTGAATATTTTTAAATTTTAAGCAATTTTTTTTACCTTTTTAGATATATCTTACTTAGTCTTCGTCTGGGAATAGCTAAAATAGCCTGGCTTTTTGGCTATTTTAGTCTGGCTTTTTTTAGCCTCGTTTGGTTTTTTTTTTTTACTTTTTTTGACTTTTGTGAGGGAAAAAGTGTAATAATTATAGTTTGAATATGACATTTTATCTTACTGACTTATGTAACCAATTTTGCCTTTTGTGCTTTTTTAGTCAAAAATCCATTGCCAAACATAGCTTTAGATGTATGCATCTAAAAAATAAAATATTTGTGAATTTTTAAAAAAAAAATTAATAAATACACAAAAATATGAAAATTGTATTGAATTTTCATATTTTATTTTGTATTTTTGGTATTTAATGAATTTTTTAAAGATTTTTTTTACAAATATTATACTTTTTAAATATATTTGTGTTAGGTTTGTCTAAAAATAAAACAAAAAATCTGAAAATAATAAAAAAAATTCAGTAAAAATAAAAAAATATGAAAAATAAAAAAATAAATTTTTTAAAAAGTGAATTTTAAAAATCAAAACCAGCATGATTTTTCCCTTCACTTACCGTCTTTGTTACACGGTTTGCACAGACAAATGGTCGTTGGCTCATTAATAAAGGCTTGAATTTGACTTGTATTAAAAGCTTGTTTAAACTCAATTTGTTAAGTCAATAAAATTTTAAAATTTGTTAACGTTTCAAAGTAAGTTTAAATAATTAATTGTTCGTTTTATTTGATTCGATAGATCTAAAACTATTTAAAAATATCAAATTATTTGAGTTTGACTTGACAAAAATTTATCTGAAATCGGTGGAAAAATTTAATGAATCAAATTTTAATAAATTTTAAAATTTATTAAAATTTTTAAATTAAATTTAAACAGTTAACTGTTGCACATGTTTATCACCTTTACCAAAGAGTACAGAACAAAAGGGGAGTGAAAGAGATGAGAGATAATGCATAATGGTACAATACACAAGTGGGCAGGTGGTCCACCACCATGGACAAGGTGGGCTCTCTTTGCTGCTAAAAGCAATTATCAAGCCCAACATAGCAAGCAATACTAACACATGATCTACTACGTCGGTGCGGTGGTGGTCCCCTTTGCTTCCAGCCCAAAAAATCTACTACTTACTTACAAAGCCATGTTTGATTGAAATTATATGAGCCTATTTTGGAAAGAAAGAAAAAAAAAACAAAATTTTGACTTATTTTTAAAAGTCAAAAGTTAGTTTATTCGAGCAAAATTTTATTTGGAAGGTAAAATTATCAAAATATTCTCTTCTGTATAACTTGTGACAAAAATATTAATAATACACGAGGTAATATGATAAATTTATAATTATACAAGTGATATGACACCATATAATAATAATTTTTTAAAAAATAAAAAAGCCATTTATTTAGTACTTCCAAGATAATTTTGTAGATAAGTCAAAAAATAAGTCAAAAAATTACTTATTTTTATCTTTCCAAAATAGACCATATGACTAGCATTTCAATATTAGATTATCAAATCTTTCCATGAAAACCAGTGAATGTTAGATGTGACGATAATTTCATGCGACAGTATCATAATAATAGAAATGACAAATTGAATTTTAGTGGGAGACAACTTTTCTATCTAATTTTATTTGTGATTTTTTTATTAGTCAATAATATATTGTTGGTATAAATTATCAGAAGTTAAAAGTTGATAATTAAAGGTAAAATTGTGTAAAATATCGCTTAATCTACTAAAATCGCACTTATCCGTATCAATCTGTATTGCTTTATCCGCTAATCTCAGTTTAAACTTTAAAATCCACCTTCGAAATCTCTTCGCTCCTCTATAGTTGATACATACATATATATATATATATATATATATATTAATTTCTAATGAAATATCAAAATAAAAATAAATGTGAGAAAGATTAAAGATGTAAAATTTGTTACAAATTAGAAATTATATGTATGAAAAATATTATTTAAAATTAGTTTGCATTTATATATGAAAAATATTACGCAAATTAGTGTTATCTATTATGTAAACACTTGATAATTGGTTAAAAATATTTTTTCTTCTGCCAATTCACTTCAAACCGCCAAACTGCTATTTAGTTTATAACTTTACTCTCAAATCGCTCGAATCGTATCGCACACACCCCTAATTAAAAATAAAAATTAAAAGCACTTCTCTTTCAATTTTTAGATAATTAAATTTTTTTCAACTTATTTAAATCATAAGCAAAAATTACAACACAAACTACCAAAATAAAATAATAATAATATTACAAATTTAGATATTACCATTCAAAAATTACCTAAGATCGTCTTTTTATAATTTAAATTTATTTTATTCATCAACCCCATTTTACATAAATTTAATTTCAATCACATAACTAATGCGTTCAAGATTTGTAAGTGGGCTTTTTTAACATTTTTCTTAAAACAACCACCCTTTCAACTTGTAACAAACACTCCCATTTTCTCACCAGAATGCCCAAGCAAATCCAGACAAGATATAGAGAAGAGAGCCTTCCCTCACCTCTCCCTCTCCATCTGTCTCTGTGCAAAGTGCCATTCTGGATAACAACAATGGCCTAAAAAGGGTTTTGGTCACTGTGGTGGTGGTGAGTCCATTTATGTGCCTTTGACTCTGATATGTGGCTTAAGGGTTTGTCAAAGGTTTGGTTTCCCTTATCCTCCTCTTCAAAACCTAAATTCTTAACTCTCAATAAGTTCTTCACTATTGAATTTGTTTTTCCCCTTCTTTTTGGTTGCTGAGAAAATGGAGGAAAAAATGTCAAACAAAATCATATCTTCTGCCCCTTTTTTCTTTTTCTTTGGGTTTTCACAATGTCGGTGGAGGCAAATGACATCACCTGAGCCGACTAGTTGCGAAAACCTTCAATTACTGGAGTATTTCGCTTGCTCCAGTCGATTTTCCTGCATTTTCTAAGCAACGAAACAGAACTCATAACTCTTATCTTACATATTTTCGATGAGGTGAAATTCTAGAAGAAAACGAACCACAGAACGGAATACGTCGTCGTAGCTTATTAGGAAATCCCAAAATTTGAAAG